TGTGCCATTGACCCCCTACGCAGCGGTCTTGAATGTGCGGGCGATTTGGATATCCATCTTCCGAATGGGTGATCTCCAGAAATTCATTCGACAGCAGTTTTTTGACAATCACTGGACTCGAGACGTGGATGCTACCACTCTTGCAGATGAGAAATTAAGATCCATTGATTCTGCTTTCAGCAACATCGACGTAAAGTCGAAATTGTCCCTATTATTGTCGCTCAGCAATTTAAAACCCAATGTGTCACGTGAGGTAGGCCTACTCAGTTTATAAATCCTTGTTGTGTTGTACAGATAAGAATTTTGGGTATGATTTTCTTCATAAAGCTAGAGTAGGCTAGAGCGGCACCTGCCGGCGCCGTACACGAAAGAACGACTGAAGTTCAGTTTAATGTTAGCTGGATATACATTGCAGTGTGAGTCCACGGACCTGGAGATATCAGCTGAAATGAATTTGCTCCAAAGTCGGGAGCTAATAATATCCATGTGTTAGCTGGCATGACGAGATGTCCCTTACATTGTTCCCTGTCGTTCACCTATTACCAAATATATCACTTTCCCATAAATTGGTCGCGTTGCCATTGAGCAATCGCCTCCAAAGCATGCCTCTCACTCCCTCATTCTCCCAACCGTCGGTGTAGCATCAGGACCACTTAACTTCAGACAGTTACTACTACTAATAATAATCGTTCACCTGTAACAGCTGAGAAACAGTTGGACTGAACACTGCCTTATTTGTGTAGGTTTGTTTTGCAACTCCGTTTCTTTCAGGTGAACCATGTCCGTTGTAAAGGTCACGTGAGTTCACCATAGGATTCGAAGTGCAGGCTATTATAACCCAGATACCGTTCCCTATGCGTCGGAGGTAAAAATTAAGACCGGATTGACCGAGGTCGTTTACGGGGACCAGATGGCCGATGTCGAAAGGTTGTTGGACGGCAAGGGCACGTGCAAGTACGAATCGACAGTGGTGTACAAAGAGGATAGGTTAAGTAACTGTACGCGCTTCTCAAGATGGACGCGCGTCAATAAAGCCTTGGACGAACGCCCCTAGTTGCTCAAATGAACACCGCCACGTACGTGGACACATGAGTCACTAGAGGCTTCAGCAATTTTACTCCTACCCCACTACTTGTCCTAACACACACGTACGTAGGCTTATACCTCGGAGTTTCCTGGCCCACTTGAGACAGAACTCTTCCTCGGTAGTTGTTTCGTGAGAACAACTCAGTACTGTCTAGGAGACCCTTCCTTCCTTCCCTTACTTCGCCTTCATAAAAATTAACCGTTACGACCGCCCTTCCTCTCCAGAGATCCTGCCTGCCTTCATCTGATGGTTTCGTGCCTTTTATGTGTTAAACGTGCGCATGTTCAGCCGATGTCATCAGTTGGTTGAAAATCCGCGAAGCCCATGTTGAAAATGGCATCCTTGCAGAGGTACAAAGCATGAGCCACGGCCCTTCTTGCACCACCCCTTAGGCCGTTCCATCCAGCCATAGACGCCAAAGTAGTTTCATCCGACGAGCCCATTTCTGCCTCTCCACACAAAGGGGTGACTTTCAACGATTATGATGCCGTACGACAATAATTTGATAGCGTTTTTGTGAAGAAAGGAATAAAAGTGGACTGAGACCAGATTAGTGCTAGCTCACTTATTTCGAGGTGTCTACACCTCCAGACAAATTAAAGTAATCTTGATAGCAACTGACAACAAGAACGCCGAACATCGATTAGCAGCAATATCTTGCAGCGTGTTATGTTTCGATCACGCAGCGAGCAAACGATTATATGAGCGGACTTCGATGGTATTCCATCCCCAGCTATGTTGTCTGATCCCGACTTCTAGTACAGCGAAATAGTAAGAAGACGAAACCTTGGACACAACTCTAATGCTCCGAACAACAGGCAAAAAGTCACACTGGATATATATCCTTAGCTTGATCTTGAAATGTGTCGGATGTTCGCTTGCACACAAAGCTACGAAGTTTCTAGATATTGATATCCCCAACACAGCGTTTCCAACTAAGCGCATTGGGGATCACGCCATCCCCATTCTGGAAGGCCTGTGGCACTGATAGCATCCAAACGTTTTGTAATCTCTTTCCTACCCCTCCGCCAGGTTAAGCGTTGGCCAAATCTCTGATTGTACCACTCACAACCGGACACGGGAAACAGCATACTCTTCGGCAAACGATGGATCGGCATACGCAGAACATCACCTAAACAAAACGGCTTCAGGTGCTGGACACACTCTTCAGTGGAAGTACCCGTTGCACAACCGAAAACTCGCTTTCTAACGGCCTCGTTACGGAAACACTGACACCAGCGCACACGAGCTATGGTCCTGAGACAACGATTGTCGAACACCTTAAGACGTCTCAGCTTCGCTGACCAAACAGGCCAGGTCTTACAGCCACACAACAAAACAGCCCGCACTTTAGCTTGATACCCACTCCCCTTAAGATTCAGGGATATACCGCTTTGACGGCATAAGTGTCTTAAATTAACAAACGCGAACCGAACCTTGTAGGTTCGTGCACTGACCTCATCTGTCACACTACAGTCAGAAGTGATACAACATCAAAGATAGGTAAATAGCTCCACAACTTCGAGTTTCCCTATCTGTGTTGGATGTGGCGCGTTAAATGACTGCATGTCTGGGAGAATGACCTTACAATTTATGGGTGCAAATTGCATACTGAAAAACGGATTGACGGAACGGAATGGCGCAGAAGCGCCTGCACCTTCTGGTTCTCTTTGAAGATGAGAAATATATCTGCATATTCCGGATGGATAAGGTTTTCATCACAGGTTATTTGAACACCGGAGTTTTGGAGAGCTTCCAGCGTTTCTGTCATTATCTCATCGAACGAAAAATTAAATAGGAATGGAGAGTGGGCACACCTGACTGACACCGCTTAGTGTACAGAGGCTTTTGGAGAGTTCCCCATACACTTTCACGCCCGGAAGTCTGAGTATACAAAGAACTTATTATGTTCACATATTTCCGAAGCATTCCTTGATGGAAAAGCGTGCAAACGAGGACAAATTGATTGACTAAGTCGAATGCGCTTTAGAAATTCAGGAATAAAAGTCTGGGCCGCTTGTGCGTATGGCGTTGTTCTAGCGCCTGAAAATTTAGTCAACGCAACCCCTACCATGCAGGAATCCCGCGTGCTAATCTCGAGCCACTTTCACAAACCACCATAAGGCGACAATGCACAAATGACGCCAGCAGTATCGTCACGACCGGGGTCAAGCTTATCACCATGTGGTCACCGCACTCCCTACGGGTTCCTCTTTTTGAAAATGGGCAGTATCACCGATCGTCTCCTGGCGTCTGAAACAGTCTCCTTTTTCCAAATGCAGGCAAGCAGATCAGACAAGTGGTGGTTAATCAGATGACAGTTGATCTTTTCGCCGAGCTTGGCGAACAGACCAACTACCATCTGATCAACCACCAATAGACGCACCTGAGTTACCTATATTTCAGACAAGTGCTGACTAAGGACTTCACTCCCATCTTTGAGCAAGGCGAGTGGGAGGTCATCAGTGTTGCGCACTTGAATGATTGTGCCACAAACAGAGAACGAGGATCGCCGAATGATTGGCTTTAATCTTCTATCAGTTTCAGTACATCAGCTAAAACATTAGGAAACACAATTAGCTCAACGAATAGCGAGTAAAAAGTTAAACACAACGTCAGTATATAACAATCAGGACCAGGATCGCGGTGGCGCTTGAGAGAACATATGCAGTCATAAACCTGCGAAGCTGTAGGGCTTTCTCCATCCAGGCTTCTACGTTAGCTGTGTGCTCCATGCGACTGGCAGCTAGTGGCACGAGAACTGTTGTTAGAAGTATTTGGGCCAGCGTTTGAAGGGTTTGAAGGGTCACACAAATCTGATCCTTGATGGCTGCGCTCGCAGGTGGTTTCCGTGGGCCGATCGTACTGATCAGGTGACAACTTTCGGGCGTTACCGGCTTTCTGTACCTCTTCCATTTCCTTGGCTTTCTGTGTCCACCACCGGAGTAGAGTAGCAATCGTTTGTGCGGTCCACACTGATAATTTGCCGGGCCAACCCATGTTCGGGATGAGATATCTCTCTGATATTCTAGCAGTGCTAGCGTTTGATCTGATATCCAGTGTATGAGCGCGGCTGGTAGCGCCGTGCCCAGGCAAAACTCTCGACACTGAAAATTGATGACGATCTCGTCCCAGCATGAACTCACGTATGATGTTTAAACATTTCGGGGGACTCCAGGAGATTATTCTGGTAAATTTGTCTTACATCCGCCACTTTCCCAAGTGCTAAGTGATTTGTCCGCACCTCCTGCAACCCTGGGCAACGATGGGAGGAGGCATCTGCACTCGATCCTTGCCCTGCGCCGTGTTCCAGAATAACGACGCGTTTGACTACCAACTGTTATCTGCTTCACCGACTTCCCAGCGGCGCTTGACTCTACCAACCAAGAAGCATTGTTAGACGTTTTTGAATCGGACGGTATGTTTACGACGTTAATCAGGCGACCATGACGAAGCTCTAACTAAAGCTGTCCTCTCGTCCTGGTGGTCTTGTTCCAGTGGTGCAACCCTCCTGTTGGCTACCCTGGGTAGAACTCAGTTCCCCAAGCTTCAACTGCACCAGGACGGCCAATGGTGAGTGGCCCTGGCGAAGAACAGCGATTCCCCTTACTGCGATTACTATACTACTAGTTGGTCTGAAGGTAAAGTCGTACAGTCCTCTGCTACAGAAGTGTGTTATGTTCTCTACTAGTCAGTCAATCAACCTTGTCAGTTACACACGAAATTGAGAAGACAAAAAGCCTTGAGGAAATTATACTGCAGCAACTGAACAGCCAATATCGAGATTCGAAGAATCAATAATGGAACGGAACAAAACAGTCCAATGAAAGGCTGAAATAGAGAGAGAAATGTTGAGCAATATTTCCGTTAGGAGTCCTTTGAAGTCATTGTTCGTACGACTGGAGTTGTGGGTTCAGTTGCATTCGTATGACAGGCTTTCTGATCCGATCGGTCCATCTTCTGGGTGTACAACTTTTGGAATTTCTGGTTCATTAATCGGTTCTGGAGATTTAGGCTTTTGAGCTAACTCAAATATGTCGGGAAGAGTCTCCAGTGGAAGAACAGGGTCGAGTGTAGGTGCAGCTGGAAGATAGGAAGCGCGTAGCTGATTGGCATGACGGACTCAGATAGAGGAGCCTACATTTACCTCATAGACAACTCTTCCGGCACGGCGCACAATTATGCCTTGTGTCCACTTTTCCGCGCCACCACGATAGTCTTTCGCTAGCACAGATTTGCCGGGTATAAATATGTTCTTTGCAGTACCGTGATGTCGGTTGAACTGAACTTCCATATTTATGTTTCTACCGGTTGGCGAATGTGGTGTTGGACGGATGACGTCAACGGGTAAGCGGACCTTCCGGTTCATAAGTACCTCCGCCGGGGACTTACCATTTGGAGCGTTAACATTTGGTGTCGCCCTGTAACTAAGCCGAAATGTCTCGATGATTTCCGGTGTGGTCCCCTCCCCTTTGAGTTTTTGGAGTGCGCGTTTGAA